TCATTCTACACACATATGTTCATTTTTTTTAAAATAAATTTTAAAAAGTAAAATTTAAAATTTTAAAGGCTTAATTATGTGTATTCTATTTGAAAATTTATTTTTTAAAAAATATATCCAATCAAATTATGCAAACACAAAGGAAAAAATATTATACAAAAATAATCTTTATCTTTTATCTCTCTCCTAATAAAATATTTTAAATTATAATAAATAGAATCAAATATTTAAAATAAGTAAATTTTCAAATGTCTCGTTATCTTATTATTAAAAAATAAATCAAAAAAATAAAACTTAAAATTTTGAAATGCTGCTTAATTATCTATTGTATTTATTTAAAAAATAATTTTAATGAAATATATCCAATTGAATTAATAATCATAATTTTTATAATTTGGTCATGACTAGGTTATTTAGGATATTCAAAATCTCATTATGGCGCTATCGAAATCTTATCATTCCTCTATTTCTGACATTTATATAATAAGTACTAGTCTTTTTTGACGTGTGTTCGCATATTAAAATATACTCATTTATTTGTACATCATTCTTTTTTATGTCATTGCTCACTTTTTATTTATTATTTATATTCATTTTTTAATATTAAATATGAATTTATATTTTTATCTTATATTAATTATATTTTATAACGTTAAAACAAAATTTTCATATGATTTACATGTGAATATAATGCTTATTAATAAAAAAATGTTTATACTACACGCATACTCATTTCATTTATATTATCATTTATCAAAATTTATTATAATGTTACTATGTACAATTCTACAATATCATTAATAATAATTTCAATAATTAGATACATAGATATAATAATATAATTTAAAATTAAACTTTTAAATTGTTCCTCATCCCATCATACTATATGTTCATTTTATTAAAAATAAATTTTAAATGTAAAAAACTTAAAATTTTGAATGAAGTTAATTATGTATATTCTATCCATAAATTTATTTTTAAAAAAGAATAACCAATCAATTATACAAACATAAAGAAAAAAATATTATAAAAAAAAATAATTTTTTATTTTTATCTTCTTCTCCTAATAAAATATTTTAAATTATAAATAAAATATTTTAAATTATAATAAAAAGAGAATCAAATATTTAAAAAATAAAATGTGAAAATTTTCAAATATCTCGTCATCATATATAGAAATAAATTTTAAAAGATAAAACTTAAAATTTTGAAAAGCTTAATCATCTATATGTATTTATTTAGAAAATAATTTTAGTAAATTATATTTAATCAACTAATAAAATATAATTTTTTAATTGATTATAATTAAGGTTATTTTAGGATATTCAAATTTGATTATGGACATAATTTGATTATGAACACTATCGAAAATCTCATTATTTCCACATTTATATATAGTATAGATAGATAGATAAATAAGTGGTTATTTTTAATTCATAAATAGATTTTAATGATGTTGACAATTATTCTTTACATTAATTTCAAAATATTTGAAGATAAATACAATTACAATTGTTCATTTGCTGAATTAAGTTGTGTTAAATACAACTAATCTATATTTATATTTATATATCTATATATAATCTTAAAAAAAAAAACTTTACAAGCTGACTTGGTACTCCAATGTTTGAGTATTTAATTTTCTCTTTTGTTATAAATTTTCTAAATTTTTTGTAATTTTTGAGCATTTCTATTTTCGTATCTATATATACCTATATCTAAAATCTAAAATTTTGAATAATTAACATTTTAAAACTTTTGAATTATTGAATTTAAATCTTTAAAAGTTTTAAAGTTTTGAATTAAGAACTTTAAAAACTTTTGAATTTTTGTCTTATCTACATACCTATGTATCTATGTATATCTCTTCCAATGATTATTTTCACAATGGTTTTCTTCTTATATTTTTGTTGTTTCTTTCGATTATTTTGTTTTTAATTTTATAAGTTTCGATTGTTTTTTTTATTTTCATGTGTATATTATTGTTGTTTTTCAGATTTTGATTAGCAAAAGGACGACAATAAGAACTCCAATCCATATATTTTACACATCTTTTTTTCTGACTAAAGTAATGTTAATTTAATTCGCTGATCTCTTTTTTCCTTCTTTTTCTTTTTTAGAATTTTTTAACTTTTATGAAATGATATGTATGCAGAAAGAAGTGGATATAGAGACAACGATAGGAACATAGAAAGGAAAGAGATAAATAATTCTTATTATTTTGATAACTTTTTTTTTTTTTTTTTTATCTTTGTGCAATTAGTTGTATGGTGTTGAGTATGTTTATTAGGAGTTTTTTTCAATTTGTTTGTATAGTTTTTATGCTTATGAATGAAAGGTCAGTTTTTATGTATTATTATTATTATTTTGCTATTTCTTTTATTTGTTTTACTTGCTAGGATATGAGGTAAAGAGAAATATTAAACATTTACATCATTGATTTAATAAATACATGTAACACCCGCACTAGATGACGTGCTAGCTTGAGATGTTAGCTTACCTTAGGCAAATATCACATTGGCTAAGTACAAGGTGAAAGTGATGTATATAAGAATGGGCAAACGACCTGTTGGGCTATTGAGTTGGTTCTAGCCCAGGAACAAAGCCGTGCGGACCTGAGTTGGTTTGGCTCAAAGCAGACAATATCTTGCTAGGTCTAGACTGCCACAGACTTGGTATCAGAGCCAAGCATTGTCCCTCTGGCTAGTGGTGGGGCAAACCTTAGCGAGAGAGCTGAGTCCCTAAAGGGGTGAATGTAACACCCTAGGCGAATCCCACATCGGCTAAGCACAAGGTGAAAATGAAGTATAAGAAAAGGCGAGCCTTAGACTAGAGAAAGGCCTTTTGGGCTATTGAGTTGCTCTAGCCTAAAACAAAACCGTGCGGGCTTGAGTTAGTTCAGCCTAAAGCGGATAATATATTGCTAGGCCTAGGCTACCATAGACTTGGTATCAGAGCCAAGCCTTGTCTCTCTAGCTGGTGGTAGGGCAATCCTCAACGAGGATGCTAAGTCCCTAAGGGGGGTGAAGTATAACATCTGCACCAGATGAGGTGCTAACTTGAGATGTTAGCTTACCTTAGGCGAATCCCACATCGCTAAGCACAAGGTGAAAGTGACCTTTTGGGCTATTGAGTTGGTTTTAGCCTGGGAATAAAATCGTGCGGGCCTGAGTTAGTTCGGTCTAAAGCGGACAATATCTTGCTAGGTCTAGGCTGCCACAGATTTGGTATTAGAGTCAAGCCTTGTCCCTTTAGCTAGTGGTGGGGCAAACCTCAGTGAGGACACTGAGTCCCTTAAGGGGGTGAAGTGTAACATCTGCACCGGATGAGGTGCTAGCTTGAAATGTTAGCTTGCCTTAGGGGAATCCCACATCGACCAAGCACAAGGTGAAAGTGATGTATATAAGAATAGGCAAAGCTTAGACTAGCAAGAGGTCTTTTGGGTTGAGTTGGTTCTAGCTCAGGAACAAAACCGTGCGGGCCTAAGTTGGTTCAGCCCAAAGCAGACAATATCTTGCTAGGTCTGGGCTGCCACATATTTGGTACCAAAGCCAAGCCTTATCACTCTGGCTAGTGGTGGGGCAAACCTCAGTGAGGACCTTAAGTCCCTAAGAGGGTGAATGTAACACTCTAAGCGAATTCCATATCGGCTAAGCACAAGGTGTACAGTGAAGTACATAAGAAAGGGCAAGCCTTAAACTAGAAAGAGGCCTTTTGGGCTATTGAGTTGGTTCTAGCCCATGAATAAAACCGTGTGGGCCTGAGTTGGTTCTGACCGAAGCGGACAATATCTTGCTAGACTTGAGCTGCTACAATTCATTTAAAATAACAAAGGGAGGAAGCCTATAAGATAACATTTGATAAATTAAAAAAAATAAATATATTTAATAAATTAAAAAGAAATTGGGATACCTAATATTCTTATCATTTAAATTTTAATTTTATTATCTAAATATTAGAAAATTATATCGAATGATTATATTTTAAAATTAATATTTGTTTACAATAATTATCTATATCTATATTCAATCTTGAAACTTTTTATTAGATCATTTAAGATATTTTTTTAAGTTTAAAAATTAGTAGTTATTTAAAATCATTATCTATATTGATATTTGAATTTTTGATTCTTTTAGTTTTAGATTCAAATGTTTATTTTTTTTTGTCCATTTATTATAATAATTTTATATTTTATATCTATATATCTTTATTATTGTCTTAGCTTATTTGCAAAAATCCTAGAGGTAGATGAAACTTTTGTACTTTTGTGTATGTCTTTCAAATTTATAGTTTTGCAAAACAATTTAACTAAAATGCATTGTATGTGTAATATGTTTACTCTATATATCTTTTATAATATTTTTATTTGCTTTTTTTATTTTTCTCAAGTTGTAGTATTTATTTTTTCTATAAATATTTATGTTATATGTACAACAAAAAAACAATATCTAATACAATGTACGATAATAAACAACCTACAGAACTTGGTTATAACGTTAGATAATTAATAACACGTTCAATGACACTTCATATAGCTTTTAAAGATATAAATAAATTACTTAATTCATGAATTTTAATAATATGATGTGGTTATTTTTTTTATTGATAATAAATTTAATCAATGTAATGAATTTACTTGTTACCATTCATTTCACTTTTCTTTTTTTTTTTTCCAATCTCTATAAATTCTACCATTTCTAATTCACATTTTCATACATACGATGCTCATCCTCACATTCAAAAATTATGGATGTATTCTCTACTACACATTTCTTTTTGTTCATTTCTTTTATTAGCATAATATACATATATATATATATATATATATTAAAAATTTTTCAAGCAAAATATTTGAATTTTTTTCTGAAGGGACAGTCTTAGAATTTTATTAAACGTGATAGTTCAAATATTAATTCAGGAAGAAGATGGAAATATGTGGATATTGTACAGGAATGATGATGCAAGATACGCGTAATGGAAGGACCAAAACTTAAATAACATAAAACGAACCATTTCCTTAACCCCTAAATTTTTTTCTTAAAAAGAAAAAGAAAAAATCGGAGTTTCCGTCTACTCTTGAATCCGCCAACGTTTCTCTTGCATTATCTATAAGCTTCCTCTCTCTAGAACTCAGATTCTAGGGTTTGGCACTGGTTTTTTACACCCACAAAAATTATTGTCTCCATTAGCGAGGCAAGTAGCCAAACATGGCCGCTAATCCCGCTAATCTATGGGTGTTACTGGGTCTCGGTATTGCTGGAATTTTGTTAATGACGAGAAAGTTGAAGAAAACTATTCGGGAGGATTTTGGTGCTTTTGTGGAGAAGCTTCAGCTCCTTCCTCCGCCACAGCCCGCCCCTCCAAAAGCTCCTCATCCCCTAACTGGCCTCACTTTCGCCGTCTCCGATGTGTAAGTCCTTGTTACACTTATCTTTTTCGTATATATGGTTCAACTATTGTTATTCGTTAATAAAATTATGAGAATACTGTTTAGTTAATTATATATGAGCACATATAGCTGCCAGTTGGCGTTAATTCTTTGGTCTCGGGTTCTGAAGTAATCACTTCTCAAGCTCGAAATGGTGTCTTGTTTTTAATTTGAAGAAAAATGGAAATGAAAAATGTGAATTTTGATTTCTTAGACCATGCTTTTGCTGCCACCGTATTTAGTGAGCAAGCAAGTTGAAGTTTGTCCCTGTTGAATCCATAAACGGATTAGATAGCGGAATTCTGTGGAGTTTTATATTGCTTGTAAACTTTATGACCACTTGCAAAACTTGTTAGCTCAAAGTATTAATAAATTTAGCACTTTTTTATTTACAAGAATCGTAAAAGAAGAGAAAAAGCTGAAGAATTGGTCTTAGAATCTTTTTCTCACCATCTTCACTAAAGGAATTTGAGCTAGGACGTTATTTCTTATTATTATTTATTATTTATTTATTTTTTTTGGCACTGAATGCAATTGAAGAGTTGGACCTTTACGACTCAATGTTTGAGTGAAAATGTCCCTTCATTGGGTTGTAATAAACTGAAAACTTATATTATTGGAACAAATATTTGTTGCAAGCATTGAGTTGGAGTTGTGTAGAAACAGCATGTTGGTGAAAAGGGTATTATTTCTTTTGTTTAATTCATGAACGAGTACATGGTTCTGCTGAATGTGGTGCTATCTCTTTATAATCGTCATTGTTCCTTCTAAATTGACTTTGTTGTGATTCTCAGATTTGATATTGAAGGATATGTGACTGGATTTGGTCATCCAGATTGGGCAAGGACACATGAGGTAGCTTCTAGGACATCTTCTGTAGTTTCGGTACTTGTTGAAGGAGGTGCCACTTGCATTGGGAAAACTGTCGTGGATGAACTGGCGTATAGGTATTTGATTGGCTTGTCTTCATTTCTGAGCATGGGTCACTATTGTCAATATGCACTCATTAATTGACTGCAGATAATAGTTCACCTCTGTGGTTCATTAGTTAACTTGTACTTGGAGAAATATTTTCATAGGATACCTTTTGGTGGACATGCATAAATACTTTTCTATTTCTGCTTTTCCCTGGTTGTGGTGAAATAGTAGCTTCACTAATACCTATGAGTTTACTTTTGTGTTTGCTTTTTTGTTTTAATGTACGTCCTTTTCTTTTTCTGTAAATGCTTTATTTCAGTATCAACGGAGAAAATAAGCATTATGGTACACCCACCAATCCTGCAGCACCAGCACGTGTACCTGGTGGTTCCTCAAGTGGAGCTGCTGTTGCTGTAGCTGCTAATCTAGTTGACTTCTCTCTAGGTGAGCTTCTTATTTGATGTTTGAGAGCTTAAAAGATAAAGTCTTACAGTATAATTTACTTTGTTATTCTGCATTTTGATGTATACACATTTAAAATCATTAAACGTGGATATCCAACCTTTGTCTGCTTAAAACTAAGTCTTATGGCATTTGTTTTTTCTTGTTCTATTGTTTTATTTACAGACCTATAAATTCATTAAACTTAGATATCCAAATTCCAAATATTATCTTGGGTTTATTACAGCTTTGAACCTTAATCCCAACTTTCTTTTCTGCTGTTCACTTGCCATACAGTCATTAGACTTGTATATCCTTGATGGATTTGCTCTAGCAACTTCAGCCTATGATGTAACTTTGAAGCTGGTCCAGCTGTCTTTGTTGTTTTTAAATTTATTTAGAGCGGGTCAATTATTTAATGAGTTCTATTTTTTATCCTTTCATAAAATCTGAGTGGATAGCTGGAAAGCATAAGCCACCATATAATGTTTGTTTGGTTGAACTGTAAGTTGCCTGATACAATCTTTTCCTCTTTGTATATTTGGCTAGATTGAAAACGAAATCTGAAATCATTAGCATCGCCATAATTTTACTGGTCATTTCAGTGTGAAGTTTCTATTCTTTAATAAAGATATTATTCATTTGGGCTTGTTTTGTATACCTCATACAAAAATTTTATGCCAGGCGTTGATACTGTTGGTGGTGTGAGAATACCTGCTGGATTCTGTGGCATTATGGGATTCCGACCTTCACATGGCATAATTCCACACTGGGGAATTATACCTGCCTCTGCAAGTCTCGACACTGTTGGTATGTACGGATAATAGTTTTTGTACTATATATGCTAAAGTGCAAACATATGACTGCCCAAGTGAAAGTTGGGATGAAGAATTTTGCATGCTTGAATGGATTTGGTTGAGTTTATAGAGAGCATTATTGGCTGTCCTATCCATGTTTCTCATTATAATACCAAATATCATGCAAATTTTACTGTTAATTGAAAATTATAAAAATTTTCACTTTGAAGAAGAAAGGTAAATTGATTCTTAATTTGCTTGATATGGTGTATGCTCATATAGCATCCCAAGTGAAAATACAATATAAAATAAAGATCCATGTTGAGCATTGCTTTTGGTTCTGGTATCCTAGGGGAAAGCAGGAAAGGACAATTCAGATAACCTATACATTTAACACTCTAATTTGAGCTTTTCTTGGGATTGATGAACTGAAGTCCTGTACTGTCCATCTGGATTGATATGCATTTGAATGCTGGTGGTTTTAATTTGTGTTTAAAGTGAAAATCTATAAAAAATTAACATGATATGAAATTAAAATTCATGTTCATTTCAAATGACCACCAATCAAATTGGACCCACAGGTTGTTTTTGGATTTGAAGTTTGATGTCCTAGAACAATTATTTTTTGAAATAATTTTCTTTGGCTATTATCCTTAAGAATATTTTTAAAATGGCTCATATTTTGTATGTATTTCAAATTATCCTTTAAGCACATTGAATCCATATATCCATGCACCTAATCTCCTATCAATAATTCTACCAAACTAAAGAAAATGTATTCACATGTTTGGTTTGAACATGCATGTTTACTGGGAATATACTAAGAAATTATTTATTAGGATTTGTTTCATAAGTTTTTTATTGGAACTGCGACATTTTATGTTTGGTGCAGCTACCAAGTTTCTGGGAAGTATATTGTGGATGCAATAATGTCTTAGTAATATCTCCATTGCCTTTGTACTTCCTGATGAATCAGATACAATATTTTATTCCCTGGAAGCTGGAGTTCGTTGGCCTATTTTCTGTATAAAGAGTCCTTTATAAGAAACATTGAGATTAACATAAATTCAGTCACCTTAACTTCAAATCCAACTTGTCAAACATACTTTATATTGATGGTTATTTATTCTACTGTCCTGCTGCCAACAGTAACTATAACTTCTTTTTTAAAAGAAAAATTTCTGTGAAGTTTCATTTAATGGTGATCATCAGTACCGGTATCAGTGTGTTAGGTGTCCCGGTTTTAGGATCAAGTTGAAGGTCTGTAAAGTGTGAAATCAAGAATAGGATTGGTTTTTTATTTGATTTTCTGCTTTTTTTTTTTTTTTTTTAACCTATATTGAACAATTAAAAGTTCAAGAGCTCGATATGATATATTTCTTCAATATCACAAAAGAACTGATTCTTGAGGAATTAATGTTGCGGAGATGCTAATGGTTTGATGGATGTGTGGTTAGACAAGGTTAGATAAGATTAGGAATGATCACATTAAACAAAAGGTGCAAGTAGCAAAAGTTGGAGATAAAATGAGAGGACACCTGAGATGGTACGATCATGTATTACGTAGACCCTCCATATACCACAGTTCATAAATTAATACTTTAGTAGTGAAGGGTGCTAAAAAGGAAACGAGTTGACGTAAAACTGCTTGGAGGGAAGTTGTCGCAAAGGATTTACGGTCTTTTGATATTAGTTAGGATATAGCTAAGAATAAAACAGAATGGAGACAAAAGATTTATGTAGTAGATCCTAGTTAGTTGTTGTTGCCCATTTTATGCTTTGTTCTATTTATTAATTTATCAAATGATTTTAAAATTTCCTTTAAAAATTTTTTTATACAAAAAGTATTTTCAAAATTCTTTTTTTGACTTATACTTTGCTTTGCATTGATATTAATTTGATTAGAGCAGATATTGGAAACTAAGGATTCATGTAGCCAACCCCAACTAACTTGGAACTAAGGCTCCGTTTTGTAATGCTTAACGTCTCATTCCATTTTCAAAAATATATTTGCACTCTTAACAAGCAGTAACTAGTCTACTTCCCCATTACTAAATACATAACAAAAGAAAAAAAAACTAAATAGTAACTTTAACAACTGATTCTGTAAGAAAAGATGAATGAACTGTGCTGCTGCTCTACTTTGGCTGAAACCCCTTCCTTTACTTGTGCCCATCTGTGCAACTGTTGATAAATTTGCTTAATTAGGCTACACTTGGGTGGGTTGCCTGCAACAGACCTAACACTCTCACTTAACGTATATCGGGAATTTTGTTTACATTATGAAGTCTGAGTTCAATACAGATTGGAGTAACAACATGCATTAACCTATGAGATAATTCTATGAAATGGATCATCACCATGGTTTTGTGTAAGATCAAATTATTTATGAACATTGTTGTTTCTCTTTTGACTTTTTAGTTTGTCCATCTTTACTTGGATACTTAACAATGCCTGCATTATGCTGATCCGTTGTGCTTGTATTTTATTGACTGTCTGAAATAATTATTGCAGGATGGTTTGCTAAGGATCCAAATGTTTTGCGTCGTGTTGGACATTTGCTCTTGCAAGTGCCTTTTGGAGTTCAACGAAATCCAAGGCAAATTATAATAGCTGATGATTTTTTTCAATTACTAAAGATTCCTGTAGACAGGGTCGCCCAGGTGGTGATTAGATCCACTGAAAAGCTTTTTGGAAGTATGCCTTACTCCTATGTGTTTTGGTTATTCAGTTTTGTGCGAATCATTATTTTCTTGTTGTTGTTTTATACAAAATTTTCAAAAATATGTAATTTGGCTGAATTGTATCTCGTGGAATTTTTCAGGACAAGTATTAAGGCATGAAATTCTAGAGGAGATTCTCTTCTCTAAAGTTCCAAGCTTGAAACAGTTGCATGACAAGAAAAGCAATGGTGAAGGTAGACCTTCTTCAGTAAGATTGCTTGCAAATATTATGCAGCTTTTGCAGAGGTGAGCATCGTTCTTTCATGACCAAGTTATCTCTAGAAAACAGTGATTTGCAATAGCTATGAAACTCTCTTGCTAAGTTTTTTGCTTTGATGGGAATGATAACGTTCTATCACTGCTTGTGGCTTTGTTGTGTGTGGGATAGGAATTCCATTGACTAGGAATTGAACATTGTTAGGTAGGAATGACAGTGGGTCAAGCATGGGGTGGGAATGCCATGTCTAAGGGAATGGCAAAGGCCGGACATAGTCAAGGAGCCATTCCTCATCCCCATCCCTCCCCTTAATAAGGGGGGTATCTAGCCCATCTCTGTCCCTCTATGAGTTATATAAACAATCCTAGTTGACATATGAGTTATGGGGTATCTTCGTATAGAGTTTCCATATTTCATATGGAATGGGAGTCACAGAAAGCAAGGTTTAGGGCTGCTTCTAAATCTATATGCCTGTGCTTGTAGAGCATTATAGTTCAGTCTTTCAGTCGACAAAATTCTAGCTATTTCTGCTCTTGGTTTTGAGTTGTATTGTGCAATTCTAACTCCAAGAACTGAAGCTTTCTTAAAGGAATGAATTCTGTATCTTGCCTGTGCGAGGCTGGCAGTTTATTTTTGTTTGCTTAGTGTGCTTGTTTTTCTGATAAATTAAAAATTGGATTCATTGAATAGTATTTTAGAATGATATAGAATAGCTAAGGTTTGATATTAAAGTTTTGAAAGATCAAATTGAATGAGATTTTTATCATATTGGTTGCAGAAATAAATGGGAAAACAAGATTCAATTTCATTCCTATTCTTCTTTATGTATCATAGCTAAGGTTGTGTCAGCTTCATAGTTCACACTAGAATTACACCATGAAATTTCAGAGACGGCTAAAAGCTTCTATAATTATAATGAAATTAATAATTCATTTTTTTATTGAATATCAAGCCTCAAAAATATATATTTGTACAAAAAAATCAAAGTAATCCTATAAAGGACATAGACTCTCAAAGTAAAACAAAAATTTACTGCTTTGATTAGATGAGCTATAAAAGTCACTTATAATGTATTTCTTCACACAAGATTTGGACACTTGATCTCGCCCATTTGTAGCAAGCCCAAAAATTGCATAAATATCCCTGTATGGTCAACGAAAATGTGATTTAGTTGCTTACATGTGATCATTGTGTACTTTGGTTTGTACCATACATAAAAAGCAAGGGTGTGGCCAGAGACAATTTTAAACAGGGCATTACAAACAAAAGAAAAATAGCAATGCATAGTTGAATTAGAGGAGCTTGGCTATATTTATATGATCATACTGCTTTTGTTATGTTAAAGGGTGAAATTAAAAGTATAATCAGACTAGCAGTTTACTATAACGCACAAAAATTTTTTTGATAGAATAAGAGTATTACTTGAATGATAATTGATGGACGTGTAGAAACATGGAATGGATTGGATAAGAAATGAGTGTGCAACCATTGGCAAGATGTTTTCATATCCAGTATAGACCCATGTTTCAACTGGTGTTGAAAAGTGAGAGCTTGAGTGGTACGAGTAAAAGTGGAAGAGTAGACAGAAAATGGTATTGATTAATTTAAGGTATTGGCCTTGAGTAGATTTAAGAACAGAAGTAAGTTGAATAGCATATAACAATTGAACTGAGATTGAAATTTGACTTGCTTTGTATGTAGCTAACAGCAGTAGAATACTAATGTTTGGTGAGTTTATGGTTAGATGTTCCTGTTAAATGTAAACTGATGAATATAACAACTAAACCTTAATGCCAAACTAGTTGTGGCTATACAAATCCTTTCCTTCCCTTCCGTTTTATTCATAATTAAGTCCACACAAATGTTAGGAAGTATTCGAGCTTTTGAGACAACTTTTCTACATGTGACACTAGGTATACCTCTTCTCAGTTTAGCAGTATCCACCATTGATGCATGGCGCTTACAAACTGTAATACATAGGAAGTCTATATAGGATATGGCCAAACAATCATAGACAGACTTATCTCATTTTATCCTCAACTTGCGCCACTTGCATTTTTTGCAAGCTTATGTTGAATATCTATCATAAAATCCTTATTTCTGCAACATTTATCTTACTCCTGTGTAATATCACAGGTCTTACGTCCTTTTACAAAACTTGCCTTTCACTATGTTAGATATTTTCTTATCACATAGCACACCTGTAACAATTTTCCATTCATCTATCCTATTTTAGTTCTATGGGTTACATCTTCATCTATCCTATTTTAGCTCTAGTGGTTACATCTTCATCTATCATGCCATCCTTTTGAAATAAAAGTCTAGATATTTGAATTAAATGAACTTTAAAAAATACGTTTATTGTTTAAATTACTTTATTCAGTACAGAGGCTACATTTGTTATATATATTTGTTTAATTACTTTATTAGATAAATAAAATTCAATACATTTTTTTTAAATGAAAAATAATGACATATTTTAATAAAATAATAATTTATGTCTATAATATACATAAGCCAATATTATTGTAAATTATCCTATATTTTTATTGTTACGTGATTATAATTTAATTATATTTTAATAAACATGCTAAAGTAACAAAAAAGGGGCAACCTAGTGCAGGAAACATCCCAAATGTATGTGCTCTGGGGAGGGTTGGTGGTTGGTGGTTGGTGAATGCATCCTTTCCCCCAGCCTTTTTTAACATAATATTAATTGCTAAGACATGGTTTCTGATGCATCTGTCTCAATTAAAAATTGAAATACTTTCTCCGTCCCAAAATAATATTCTCACTTCTTTTTCACACAGATTAAGAATGGGTAGTTAAGTTCAACCATAAAATTTATCCTTCTTTTTCCATATATACCTCTATATTAATCATTTTTTGATGATTTAAATTTTGGAATTGTTTATAGACTTTTTCAATAAAAAATTAATATCCTAGCACTTGTTTTAATTACTTTATATTTATGTTCATTACGTTATGACGGAAAATAGGAAGAATATGATATGAAATGTTTCTTCTCATTTTTAAAACATAAATAAGGAATAGGAGCATTAAATGGGGTGATGGTTAGGATATCAAAGTTTTAGTATAATTACTTATAGTTAGACTATTTGACTAAATGTTTCGTAATTCTATGTACATTTGTTATTGGCACAAATTATATAGGGTACTATAGGAAAGTTAACAAAAAGACCATTTCCGAAAATGGAAATGGGACTATTATTTTGGGACACTCATTATAGAAAGTGAGACTATTTTTTTGGGACGGAGGGAGTAATAAAGTTGTGTCCCAAAAAGGCCTAATCTACCATATAACAACAATAACAACCAAGCCCTAGTTCCAACCAAGCCTAATCTACCATATATGTTAATAATTTTTTCCTTTAGAAATTTGGATGAGAGCAACATACTCAAGGTGATATGTGACTTTTAAAAAGGTCAAATTTGTCTGATTATATAAAACTGATCAACCATTCGTAATCTTTATTGAACTACGAAGCTGAAAGAAGCAAAAGCTAATTAGGATTTCTATCAGCTATTAGCTACTGATTGTAAAATTCTATTGAATAGTTCTATTTCATTGCGTGGTACAAAATAGCTATCAACTATATCCAATAGTTAAACCAAACATCCACTTAGATTCAAGAATCAGATCCACTTATCCTGGTTGGTTAAAAGCTATTAGGATTAAAATTGATAAACCAAATAGCTTTTACCCCCTTCTACCCACATGCTATGGTTATTTGAACTAATGCTATGGCCTAGAGGTAGTCTTGGAATTTAATTTCTAGATGATGAATTTCTTTTGATGTATGATGTGGGGTTTTTATGAACATCATAAAATAAAGCTCTGATTCTTGATTTTTAACTTGATGTTAATTTTGGATGATGTGTTTGTCTTGATCTTGTGACAGGTACGAATTTAGATATAATCATGGGGAATGGATTAGTGCAGAGAAGCTCAATCTTGATCATGATATCTGTGCTCTAGTAAATGAAGTCATGGAGATACCAGATGCAGAGATGGAAATCTATATATCCATCAGAAATGAAATGCGTGCAGCCATCAATTCACTTCTGAAGGTAATGCTTGTGGTTAGTTGTGGACATTGTATTTGAGACACAGTTTTGATTTGTTAATAACATTTTATTTGTAAACGCACGACAAAAAAGGGGTGGAAAACATGCACCCTAATTATTAGGAACCATTGTTTGCACAGTTATACGTTGGTCCAGCATTTAATGCAACTACATGTCAAAAGTTTGTTGACAAATTCTAGCCCTCTTTCTGCTGAATGTCTAAGACAAGGGGAAAGGGGAGAGTTTGAAGGAAATTGTGCAAGAGATACAAATTATATAAAAGAAACGTATATGATCTCGGATAAAGAATAGATCATATTTTCTTGGGGAAACATCTTTTAATCTCGAGTAGAAAAAGATATAAAGTCATCATACTGTTAGGTGTTCTGAAAATTTAAAATTCCTATTGCTCTGCCAGGGTTGTTAGAGACACATGTTATCTTCATTTTCTTTCCAGAGATAAAGAACATACATATTATGCAGTGCATGAGGGTGACTCTCTATGATGAGGTTGCATGATTGTGGTTTGGAGTCATTGGTTTAGCCATGGAAACAACCTCTCTGGAACAGGAAACTTCACGAATCTAATGCTCCTTTGAGCATGCATTGCGTGGGGCTATGTTGTATGGAAATGTGGAAGCGTGGAAATGCAGAAGCAGACACGGGAAAACGGTATTTTTAAAAATATAGGAAACAGAAATGTGGGGGAAACACGTAAATATGAGAAATATAAGGTTATATTTATAAATATAAGAAATAAATTATTATAAACCATTAAATATATTCAACAACAAATCAAGTCCAATCAACAATTAATCACATGTAAAAGAATTACAAGTTCCATACTCATAAAAAATACATGTTCTGTGAATTTGTATTTACTTATATATTTATTGTAATTTGAGAAATGAGTTTTTTAGAGTTTCCGATTTGAGGAAATGTATTTCCAAGAGGGGAAATGTGTTTTCAAATTACTCATTTTTCGGAAATGGCCCCCAAAAATTTCCGAGGAGTTTCCACGGAAAAGTTTCTGAAATCCGGAAACGGCAACCAAAGAAAGTTTCTGTGCAACAGGTGTGGAGTCTGTACATTGACATGCCCAGTGTTGTATGTTGCACCCTACATTGCCATCTGAATTGGTTTGGTTTTCTGGAAGTGGAATGTTGATTATGTTTGTTAACCTGCATAATATAGTTTTTTTTTTTTTTTTGTTAAATTTTATTGGTTTCAGGATGATGGAATTCTGGTGATTCCTACAACTGCTTATCTTCCTCCAAAACTTGGTGGCAAAGAGTTGCTATCGGAGGACTACCAAATTCGTTCATTTAGTCTATTGAGTATTGCAAGCCTATCAGGTTGCTGTCAGGTGAAGTGCTCTCTGTTTCATGCTCTCAACTGCACAGAGAAGAGAATGTTATTTCCTATATCTCTGATATTTGTTTTTTAAGCAAACATAAGTTTGAGTTTCATCTTATATTTTGTATATATTTTCTTGATGCTCCAGGTCACTATTCCACTTGGACATTATGAGAAGTGTCCTGTTTCAGTTTCCTTCATAGCCAGGCATGGGGGTGATCGCTTTTTGCTGGATACTGTACAGAACATGTATACATCACTCCAAGAGCAAGCTGATTTACTTGTGAACTCCAAATCTCCTCATAAGACTGACAGTCAGGAGCGATCTGCTGAGATGGCTAAAGAAAAGGTATACTATCCATTTCTGATGTGCTCATCAAATATGCTGAAGATTTCCAGCTCTCAGGAAGTGATTTTTGGCTGAGGATTGTTTTTAGATAGCCTGCCAATCTTTATTTTGTTATGTCTGATCTATTATATCCTCGAATTGTTCTCAAGTATCAATAGTTTGCTGTGCTATTTAACTTAACAGGGTGTTTCTTAATTGAAAATTTACTCTTTTAACTTCAACACGAAGTTTACTTTTCCACCGAGTGCAAATGTAATTCACCTCGTAGCATGAAGCCTACCATATCAAGGGGCACCATTATCTTGTAACCTTTTTTCAAACAGAGCACACCTGTTTTGATTTGTTTAATCTATTTGTGGAATTTTATGGGTAGTAGTTAACACTTAACTGTTCAGATTGAATAACTAGTTTGAAAACAATATTGTCCAACCTGACAAAATTATCTGGTGACACTCAGGACATGGCTTATGCGAACAATTAGTTTATATGGTGAAATTTGGTGACTTGTCCTTGAATTATGTTTTATCTAATTCAGAAGTTTTTAGATTAGTAAAACGAAAGTTGATTTTATTATATTGAGGGATTTGTGCTATTTGTTTTATGTTGCATATTTCGTGGTGTTCTACCAAATTTGGGATGAGTTATTCTTTGTTTTTTTTCTCAATAACTTTATATGTTTCAAATTCTATGATTTAGGGCAACCAAGCATTCAAAGATAAGCAGTGGCAGAAAGCTATTAGCTATTATACTGATGCTATTAAACTCAACGGCAAAAATGCTACATATTACAGTAACAGAGCTGCAGCACATCTTGAATTAGCAAGGTATACTTATATTCTTGAAGACTATTTCTTTAGTTAATAAATGTCATTGATGCCTGACGAATTGTCTATTTGAACTTCCAGTTTCCTTCAAGCTGAGGCTGATTGTACCAAAGCCATAGACCTTGATAAGAAGGTGACTTCTTACTGGAAAGAAAATCAATTTGATTTTACAAATTTTGTGATGCTAGTGCTTCAAGAATCTTGATGTGTTAATCCTAATTAAGTTTTGGTAATGATATTACTTGATAATGTATAATGTTTCTTGGTTTTCACTAATAATAAAATTTCTGAAGTTTTTCTCCATCACCCTCATTCATAATTTTTGTCATCAGTAAGCATTGACTCAAATAATGGCCACAACATGATGGGTGGATGCTACTTAATGAGTTTTGGCCTATCCATTATTTCACTAGTATTTTAAAGATGTATATATATGTTATGGCTGACTAACTGACCTGGGACAAGGCCAAATTTGTAACAACTATTTTACAGAATGGTCTTATACCCCCTCCCTTGGGTAAAACATTCTACCATCATTCATGTTGTAAGTTATGTGCTTCTCTTGCAGTTATTTTTGTAAGAAACATTAGATTGCTTATGACTTTATAGGTTCAACTTGGTTAGGCTTGATAATGGGTATGCATTAGGTCAGAGAACTATACTTGACTTGCCATTTGAACCTGATTAGTAGATGAAGTGTTTTCTCCTCTTCTGCTTCTATTTTTCAAATTAATTAGTTGATACCCTCTATCATGCCATGCAATTGCCTCAATCAGCAGCATTGACTGTTTTAATAAAAATTGCTGTCCCAGTTTGTGGATATTATAATGGCTGCCTAATTTCCTGTTTATCACTCATATGTCACATATTAGCTGGTATTCAAGACTTGGCTTAAATAAGTCATATCTGCAGCTTCCTCTTCCCTATGAAGGAAGTTGTTTTCATGGTTTAAGCCCCTGGCCCCCCGGGTAACATTGGAATAATTTAACTATTGAATCGTTACTTGTTGAACTGGATTAATGTAGCATTTTCAATATATGAATTTTATTCTTTTATATTTGGAGCATTTATCAAATTTCAATCTTATCATTTCAATCAAATTATGCATTTGATGCAATTTTATTGTCATGAAAAAGAATACACTGGTGGTGCCAAGCAGCAGTATTGTGTTTGCAATGGCCTCCTGATTTAGAAAATGAAGATACAGTAGTTGGGATCACCTTCCTTAAAAGAAAATCAAGCATGAAGTGTTTTGTTATTCAGATTTCTTGTCAAGATTGAAGTGTTCATATTTCTGTATTGGCAAAATGTTTGATGACTTGGATGTGTTTCACCAAGACCATCTGTGAACCTAGAAGTAATTTTATTTCTGCATGTTGGAATTGCAGAACTTTGCATCGAAGAAAAATCTTTCCTTCAGATGCATTTTGTAGCTAATCTGCTGCAAATGTATCTCCAATTTGAATTTTCATTAAACCCCTTTGCAAATTGATTAATAAAATGGAGTCAAAGCCTAAGAAATAACTTTTATGCAACTGTAGTTTTGCTCCTGTGCGATTGGGATGTCTAGGATTTGAGTCATGGATATAGCCTCATGGGAAAGATTATGTAAAATAGATGACTTTTCTCTAACCCTCGCAAGGCTAGCCTGGTGCAAAGTTCCCTACAGTGGATTCTGGGAAGAAGTGTTCTTTAATTTATTACCGATAACTATCTCATTTTACTGGATGAATCTGTTGTGTCCATTTGTAGAGATCATTGCAATGCCGGTATACAGAACTGAGTTTTCAGAAGCTCTCTAGTGAATACTAGAATACGGGCATTATACTCAGACAAGGGAGTAGGTGTCTCCATAGAGGATGAGCTCTGTGGACACTATAGGGCCAAGGGCTTATAGTGCTTGTCTCCATGGTGTGTTGTTTTATATAGGGGGCGAACCATGCAGCAGGACGTGCCTGAAGGGCTAAGGTTGGGCCAGGACAATGTGGTGTCCCTTATTCTAATGTGTGGGAAGCGTTATTATGATAAGACCCTTGGTAGGAGCTTGGCTGGCCTAGATCATAGGGAAATCTTGGTGCCACACAGGGCCTCAAGGCTTGCAAGAGCCTGGCCCTTTTTTCTTTATGGAATATATCAATGGAGGTGCGCAATAATTTGGGAGAATATGCAGAATCAATTGCAACGAAGACCAATGATAGCTGAACTCACTAGATAGCTAGCCATGTGATTTGGATTATTTGATCTTTGCTTGTGAAATATATGTGCTTCCCTTTTGGTTTTGAATGTGAATGCAATTTTGGATTTGTCTCTTACATCCATATTTGTTTTTCTTTTGCCCACTAAGTATACTGTTGTGTTATTTTTGGAATATAGACTTTTGCATCATCTAGTTGCACACTTTACTCTGGTTGCTTTGGGTTCAAATGCAACCTATCTTTGTGAATTCCATTGATAGATCTACTGGTTTGTGTACAGCTTATGATATAATATTTTGGCTCATTAAATGTGTACATCTACTAAATCTGTTAGGACATACAGCTTTATTGTGAATACTTCACTGAAAATCTGTTTATGTTTCCTCCTTTTTCTCTTTCTTTTTCCTCTTTTTTTTTTTTGGTGTTCTAGAGTTCTGAATGGTTGATTTTGCAAATTGTATTCTAACTATTGTAGCATCATTTCCTGCCTTTTTACTTGTTGCAGAATGTAAAGGCCTATCTGCGAAGAGGCACAGCAAGAGAGATGCTTGGTTATTATAAGGAGGCAATTGAAGGTGAGATATTTCCTCATAGATTTTCTGTTTAATGCAATTGATTGAAGTAGTCCATTCCATTCAATAGTCTATCATATTTAATAACAATTAACATGCATCCCAGTAGAAATACGTAGTTTCTATGTTGTTTATTACGCGCATATGCAATCACAAAATGAAATTGGTACGTTTATTTGTTCTTAAAATCTTTGGTTTTTAATAAATTTTAGTTGAGACGAGGTTTTACTTTACAGGCATATTTGCTTAACATGAAAGTTGCCCAAGTACCTCTAACCTCTAGATTTAAAAACATAGCTTGTGTTCTTGGTATTGGCCATGATTCATGAGAGCATTACAGTCTTTAAAGATGGATGGGTTAAGTGACGTATTCAATTCCAAAAAGTAGCCAACTTCGAATTTCTTTGCTTACTCCTGCCTGTATAATGAAATTAGAACGAGTCCTGTGTCTTTGTTGGTGAAAGATTTCTGTTTTAACATTTCCCAAATGTAAAAGTATTGTGGTGCTCCATGAATTAGTAAATGGAAGGAATTAATTGTTTCTAGTGAATAATGAAGGGCACTTGTATAACAGAATCAAGTCTGTTGGGGGTGGTGATAGATTAGATCCTACATGAACAAAATGCTTATAACCAGCAAGAGTTTGAGAGGGAAAGTGCATCAGAGAGCTCTTAGTCATTGTTTGAGAGTGTTTAGTTGGATTGAGCAAGGGGGAGGGAATGGCAAAGGAAGAAGGAAAATGGGGTGAAATTTTTAACTTGGGCCTGGATAGCGCAATCTCGCAAATGTGGGGAAATGAAGAGAAAGACTATTGGGAGTGGAGTTTAATAGTATATTTAATGTTCAGGTCCATTCAAGTTTATAATAATTTTTTCTAACTTGTTTTTGGAGAACTTTCTAAAATGTTTTGCTTGATTAATTGTTGGGGATGAATTCTTTGTTTTTAATCTTGTATGACCTAAAAGATATATGACATGATTAAAAAATATGAATGTAAGGAAAAAATAAACACTTCTTTTGTCACTGTTAAACGAAATTCATTGTTTCATTACATCAACTGTATTTTGTAAAAATGATTAGAGGGTTCTTATTTATTATATGATGCATTAATTTTTCTAATTTTGACGTATAAGATACAAATATTACTCTATAAATATATGTAGATGATCGTAAATCAAATGCATTTTAGGCTCCATTTGTTTCCGTAAAATAACTTGCAGGAAAATATTTTCCACAACTTTCAGTTATTTGGAGCATTCAGAAAAAAAAATCAACGGAAAATATTTTTCTGGTTAAAGGGAAACTAAATCATTTTTAAGGAAATTTGATATTAATATTTTTCTGATATTAAAAAATTTTTTGTAATTTTATAAATGCACACTTTTTAATTTATTAATAATCATCGGTAGTCATTATAACTAGGTCACTATTGACCACCAGCTACCACCATTGGCCACCAGTAATTGTCGGCCACCACTGCTGGTCACTGACAATTTTATAATGTCATTTTTTTTTTTAAATTTCTCATATTTAACGATAAATTTTTTAAAATACAAAATTTCTATTATTATAAATATTGTCTTATAAATTACATATTATATATTTTTGACTAATTTTCAATATTGTAACCAAATAATGGAAAATAAGTTATTTGGAAAATACTTTTCGAGGAAAACATTTTACTTGGAAAATATTCTCTAGAGGTAAGTAATTTTCTGGAAACAAACAGAGGCTTAGCTTCTAAATTAAGTGAAGCAAAGAATTGTACTTTAAACTTCAAAATTTTCTTTTACAGCCCATGCAAAAACAGCCCAGGCAAAATTTTCTTTCCTCCATTTCTATTCTCTGCTTATTTCCCAAATAAGTTTAAATTTTAATCATACATGATCACATTGTTTGATATCATAGAAGCAAAATGACCTTGTTGCCCTGCAGATTTTAAACATGCCTTGGTGCTTGAGCCAACTAATAAAAGAGCAGCTATTTCTGCGGAAAGATTACGGAAGATGTTTCAGTAGGCGATTGAAGTGAAAGGTCTGTCTAGATATGATGAAATTTTGGAAATTGTTATTTTTTCGTGAAAGCCTCGTTGATTTCTCTGTGGAAGACCAGCCAATTAAACAATTTGATGATTGCTACCCCAAAAGAATCCCACACAAGAATTCCTTGAAGATTGCTTTGAAAGTAGAGCCAGGAGAGTAGTAGTCCTTTATGAAGGTATAAAGTTCTCAGTTTTTTTTTTTTTTTTTTTTTTTTTTTTTTTTTTTTTTAGATCCTTGAAGATTGCTTTGGAAAAGTGAGCCAGGAGAGTAGTAGTCCCTTTATGAAGTATAAAGTTCTCAGTTTTTTTTTTTTTTTTTTTTTTTTTTTTTTTTTTTTTTTTTTTTTTTTTTTTTTTTTTTTTTTTTTTTTTTTTTTGTTCATTAGTTCGTTTGATCTGATGTAAGTTTAGCATGACTGAATATCACAATTGTTAGGGTCGTATGACTCAATTTTGTTTATTTTTAATATTTTTACACAAGGGCTGTAATTTTAGTTTTGAGGTGGTTATATGGTTATGATCTTGTTGATTATGTAGGTTATAATTCCCCCTCATCTGCCTCTGCGAACAATTTATCGTAATAAGAAATTTGTAAGTTGGTTACTTTGTGAGTCAGCTGAGATAAACGAGGGAGGGAAGGACTTTGGGAAAGAACATTTCCATTAAGTTTAATTGATAGTTCAAGATAATGAATAAAATTAGTTGAAATTATAGTGGCTTTTGGATTAATATTTTAGCTCTCAGCTTCACTAGTGAGAATGCCATTTTGAAATGAGTTGCTACTTGCTAAGCATTAATATGTTCCTTGCTATCCTGGTATGTATAGTTCAGTTAAATGTACAAATTTGGATTTTCTGGACTGGAAGCTTGACATCCCGTTTATGGCGTAATGCTTCATCTTCGGATCAATTCTTCAATGCCATTGCTTCAATCTGATTCTGTATTTTTAGAAATGTGTTCCTTTTTTGCCAGAACATTTATAACATGTGGGGCCAGCTAGACACCGACTAGTTGATGTGGCATGCTGAGTCTGGCATTCGCCTAAGAGAGGTGAACTCTGCCCACGTCTGGTTCTTTTTTAGGTATAGCTTTAATACTGAGATTCTTTTATCGTTGATCTGGCAAATATGCGGTTTAGAAGAGTGCATCCTTTAATGGATTTTGTATTGGATTAGGGATTCTAATGTGGTTTAGATATAAATTTGTTAATGATTATTAAATAATAATATTTTTTTTTATGATTACAAATGATATGCTCATTGATGATACTGATCGTTAATTTATAATTTGATTGTGATAATTTGTTATTTAAATTAACTATTAACTACAATTAATAGAAAATTAAAAGAGGCAATTCTACTTGGCACTGCCTAATCGAACTGATCTCGTACAACTTTGAGTAAACGAGTTGAATTTTTACAATAAAATCAAGATGATTTATCCAAATATTTATCTGGCCTGAGGGAACATTTCTCCCTTCTTTCTTTTAATTTTGATAAAAAATAAATTAATCCATACAATTAAAGACAATTCGATAATAGCTTTTAATAGTTAAAATAATGTTTTATGAAAATTTAACTTTTATAATGTTTAGTTTTTAATTTTTCATAAAAAGCTAAGCAAACAATTAAATGCTGTTAAAACAATTAATTTCTGTTAAAACAACTAATTTTGCTGAACAGATCGAAATTAACATGTGAGAAAATCATATAAAAACAATAATTAGACTTCAGGATTTTTATTTCAAAAATATTATTTATAAAAACAATAAAGATCATCACAGGAATTTAAATCAAGAAACTTAAAGCCATTGATTGTCTTAACAGTTGCTGAAATTATCACTACTAAATATTCTTATTTCAATAAAACACTAAAGAAAAAAAAAAGATAAGATTAAATTTAATTTTTTTTTTAAATGAGCTATTCGCATCATTGCTATTATTATCATCAATAATTTTGTTCCTACTCTTGGCATTTGTTTCTTCAAAGTGACATGGTAAAAAAGGCAAGTATACTGTAAAACTCAATGCTACATAATGGAAATTTTATATTTCATAAATCATCCCAAAATAAGTTGCAATTTGAAATTATAATTTCTCATGTAATTCTAAATTATTAATATTATTCAAACATCACTTTATAATTTCAACTCCAATATTCTGTTATCCAAATTTAATTTAGTAGAAAATTTACATTTGAAATGAATAAAAAACTTGAATTTAAATTTTATTATATACATAAAATTAAAAATAAAAGAAAATACTAATATAAATGTGAAAAATTATTCTGTTTAATTATTTTTATTCTTTCATCTAAATATACTAATATAATGTGAAAAATTATTATATACATAAAATTAAAAATAAAAGAAAATACTAATATAAATGTGAAAAATTATTCTGTTTAATTATTTTTATTCTTTCATCTAAATAATACAAAAGTAAGAATAGTACAAAAGTAAATTCTTAAATAAGTAGGTTAACCACAAAAATAGCAAGAGTAATCCTGATGTGATGAGTTGATCCGTGATTCTCCAAGTATATACACTAATAGTAAGTTCCTCTTTATCCAACATAAATGTTTTATGCTTATTTTAGACATTAAAAAGAGTTGACTTCGTGATTATTGGTTAAGGTTAATAATTGTCAATTTTAATTTTTGTCACCATCTATCTATTTAATTACAATACTGAATTACTCACGTTCAAATCAAATCTTGTCTTTCTTTATTTTATTTTCTTTCTAACCAAATCACCGTCTGATTGCCATTACCATTTCAATTTTTTAATAGTCTTCTTTCCTTTTGAGAAAATAAAAATAACCTTCTTAAACCTTTGCCTTTTTATTAATTTAATTTTCATCCAATTTTTAGGAGATATAAAAACTAATGTTCTAATTCAAAATATAAAACTACGTATTAAAAACTATTAATATTTTAAAAAGAAAATTTTCAGCACATTGAATTATTTGTTAAACACATTTGAATCTGAACAACATAAAATCCACAGTATAATGTTATCTTTGTTTCTCTATACCTATGCTTAGCTCTTAGGGTTTTGATCATTCTTGCATTAACTGTGTTTCTAATTTTGTTCCCCAAGTTTGAAAAAAGTTGTAGCAGCAAAACTTATATTAATTATAGGTTTTTCTCAGGGATCATTTTAGGAGTTTAGAGTTGTAATGTAGCTATATATAGTTTTTTAAGCAAATGGTTTCTATTATATTAAACATAGAACTTCCTTGAATGAACTGATTTTTTGTTCTGAAATATGTTTAAGTGGAATCAGTTTATTAATTTCTGTAGTTCTGCAAGCAAAAGCATGACACAGTCAAAGGAAACCAAGTAATTACTACTTTAAATGAAGACATGCAATAAAAGAAATCCTATAAAAAGAAAAATTTGATAACAGTGACTGATAACTTGGGATACTCCACGCCTGTAACTTCAAAGGCATATCGATATCCCAGAATGTTATTTGCAAGGGAAGCCACAGTTTGAGAGTGCCAGAAAAAAAATACCTTATTTCTGTACTCCCACAAAAAAAATCATCTTGATCCCAGAAACTAGCCTTGCTTCTATTTTCTGTTTAGTTTTAGCTGTTTGCTATTAAAATCTTTACTCTTATAATATCAACTTTACTCCTAGTTTTAGCTGTTTAGTTTTACTCTTATAACGTTGTCCTTAAACTCCCCATTACAGCTTCCTTTTAAATCTTCTCAGAAATCTCAGAAACCTCAGATCTCTCTCATTCATCTGAAGCAAAACCCAGACAGCAACAGCCTCAACTCAAGGTACAAACTCTTTTCATTTTTTGTTTATTTGTTTGGATCAAATAAACATTATTTCTGCAAATTTTTGGGTGGTTTTGTTTTGTTTGATGGGTTTTCATTTTTTGTTTCTTTGTTTGGATCAAAGTTATAATGGAATGGTTAAATTTAGATACATCGCTTGTCATCTGTTATATATATACACTGAGCTATAGCCCTTGTGTCTGTATATATATTTTATCATGTCATATTTCTTGTCAAGATGAATAGATTTTACAGCTAGAGGAATACAGCTTTTAGCTGAAGAGGCTTTTAGCTGAATGGTAGTCTGCAGTTTTGCTTAGTCAAGCAAGAGAGAGATCTGATGATAATTCCTGACAAAAAATGCTAAATAAATCAAGTTTACAGTCTGAATTGGAAGTGATAAAAGAAAATCAACTCATAAAATTTGATGAACTCGTTGAAGTTTCAAAAGTAAATATTATTAACAGAATTGCCAAGAAATAGGCACGCATTAATGCAGCCACCAACCACGAGTGTATTTACTGTCAGAATGTGTTATATAGTTAGTTTTTATGTTTAATATTTGGATTAGTGCTTAAAACTATTTTCAACCCGGAAACTTCATTATTTCGAGAAACTAGAGTTTTGAATCTTTTTCATGTAGATAAAGAAGGAGACAAACTATAATTTATATTTACTCTTTTTATTTTTTATGTGGGTTTCTGAAATTTGATTTACACACATATATAAGGTGTAATTTTATTGGGTAATTCAAATTGTTGTAGTTTGATGTGAGTTATGGAATTATTATATAAAATCATAGTATTTTGTTTAAAACCTAAAACCCAAACCCAAATCTAACCTGATCATTTATCATTTCAATTTTTTTAACAGCCTTCCTTTCTTTTTAAAAAATAAAAATAACCTTCTTAAAACTTTCCCTTTCTAAATAGTTGTAAACTTGATTTTTTTTTTTTCCTTCCAATTGACTTAGTTGAAAAGAGCATGAACTCCAACCACAGGATTGCCCCAAATCTCAGTTGCTAAAATCCTTGAAGAGCTAGAGCATGCACATAGGAACTCTATATGCACAAGATTATTTCTAAAATTTAAGGTTACAAATTTGCTATCATATTTCACATTTAAATATATGAACCAAAGCTAGAAATAGTTACTCAATACTTCATAGGATGCACAAGTATAGAAATCTGTAAAATGAGTATTTGCTCAATAGGATTTCTATTATAGCTTTGAAAGACTTTATTACACTTGAAATGGAAAGGAAAAAAAAAAAAAGAAAAAGAAAAAAGAAGCCCATTTTAGGCGGGCTATGATAGGTATAATAATTATTTATTACTATGGACCAACTACTGTTTTTAATAAAGCTTGTCTAAAATGAGCTTTTTTTTTTTAATTTTTTTTTTAAAAAAATAAGCCCATTTCACAGTAGAGTGAGATAATTTTTTGTGAGGCGACATTTCTCCGTGAGATATGAAGATTCATATTCACATTTTCATAGTAGTGTGAGATAATGTTTCTTAATTATTATTTATAGTCCAAGTTATAAATTAAGCTCTTAGCTATTAAAAATATAACTTAATACATCAATGTAAAAGTTAAAGATTATTACTAAATTATTTATAAAATTTAGGTGTCTCTTTATGCATTTGGCCTTATAGTAATAGTTTATGGCTGTTTATTTTATCTTAAAAAAGAATAATTGGAAGGTAGAATATTGCTAATATTAAAAATTCAAATAAATTATTATTACTAAATTATTTATAAAATTTAGGTGTCTCTTTATGCATTTGGCCTTATAGTAATAGTTTATGGCTGTTTATTTTATCTTAAAAAAGAATAATTGGAAGGTAGAATATTGCTAATATTAAAAATTCAAATAAATATTTTATTAGAAGCTGATTGTCTTGTCATAATCTAGCTAGGTGTAATCTTGCTTAACACCCTCATTCATCTAGTTTTTGTTCCAAATGTATTCTTATATAAAATTTTTCCTCGCATAACATAAAATAAGCTGCAATTTATATAGTTTGTGATTTTTATTTAAGCTAATTTTTATGTGATTTCTTTCAAACAGTATGAAACTGAAATATTTGGTGCTCGCATGGAGTTTATTAGTTATAATTACAGCACGAGCTAAAGACTTTAACGCACTAGAATCAAAACAACGGGGGAATCCAATTATTTGGATTGGCATTACCGTAGGTCTTTTTATAGGGTTATCTTTAGTTATATCATATTTTTTGATTAGGCATTGTTTCACTAACCATGGTAACAACCCCATTATCCAACCTAACATAGAACTTGTGCAAGTAAATGTATTTGAAAGATATCCTACTCATCCCTTTCACGAAGAAGGAGACCAAATAGATTGTTCAATTTGCCTGTACCCATTAGAGGAAGGGCAAGATGTAGAAACACTTCCAGTGTGTCAGCATGTGTACCATTCACACTGTATAAGAGATCACGGAAGAAGGGGTGTGGCAGCTACTAGATGTCCAGAGTGTCGTGAAGACTATACAAATGTTATGAATTAGCTAACTAAATTCAATGTATAATACTCTTAAATATTTTTAATTATAAGGTCATCTATTTTTAATAATGTATAATACTCTTAAATATTTTTAATTATAAGGTCATCTATTTTTAATTCTCCAATGTTTTTTAATGCCAACAATGGCTATTGAAATATGTGAAATTAACATGGCAAGCAATTTCCATTACAATTTTTAAGTAAGACTTCATTAAATTTAATATTTATTTATTTATTTAATAATACTACAATTATTATTGGAGATCAATTTCCCTTATAACCTCCTGGACCACCAAACCACATTACATGTTTGAAATCCGATCTAGCGTATCCCGAGTCATAAGCTCGATAATATATAATCGGAGTATCTGTATATGTCTCAACTTTTGGAGCGTTGACAGTTTGATGATGTTCATCAACAATTACCATTTCTGCACAAAATGAATTATATAGTGAGTTCATATGCTCACCTGGAATATTACCAGAGCCCATTTGAGGACTCGGAATATTTGGAGGACTATATACTTCTCCACCCCATTCTATGTATGTAGCTGAATTTGCCAATCCTGTGAAAATTTTTTGCGGCCACCATCCAACTTGGGTACTGAACTCTGATCCGAATTCAATTTGAAAAATCCAATCTCCATTAGCTGCATCCTATACATAATAGAAAAAAAATTGTGTAATGTTAGGCTAAAATACTTTGAAAATGTAAGATTGAAGAAAAATTGTGTAATGTTAGGCTAAAATACTTTGAAAATGTAAGATTGAAGTTCAAGACAATAGCTTACTTTGTAAACAAAGAAGTGTTCGCCAACTGTTGGTCCACCTATTGCAGATAGTCTAGGGAAAGCAAAATCAAGAGGTATGTCTGGTCTATTAAGTATAAATCCACTGCAAAAAGTATTGAAGCAGTGACTGTTTCCAGCCTATTATGAGACAAAATAATACAAAAATAGTTGTTAATACGGAATAATTAGAATTAAGATAATTTAAAGTTATAAGACATAAAACACATAAGGCTTACATTTGTGTATAAAAATAGGCGAGTACGAGTATCTCTATACACTATAGGATTGACCTGAAATTAATATAATATTATAATAAATTGATGGTGATAGTTTAAAACTAGTTGAACAAGATAAAATGAAATTTATATTTAGAAAAAGAAATGGAATCTGGTTAACTTACGGTCCACCCAAATATAAGACTATCAGGACCATTTTGGATTTTATGACTTGAACTGTACTGGGATTTAATATCAACCAATTTCGGATTATACAAGCTACTACTCATTCCAGCTCCATAGTACTTCCCATTTGACAAACGACCACCTGCAAACTGTTTGATGGATTAATTACTAGACTAATCAGATTTCAGCAAATTCTGATTTGGTAACAATGCAAATATGTGTACGTAACCTTACATGAACACCAGGTTTATCAGCATTTTGAGGATTCAAATTGGAAGCATATAGTTCTGCAGCTAATTTGGCTCTGATGAGATCGTCTTTCTGCAGCTAATTTGGCTCTGATGAGATCGTCTTTAGTAACTCTCTTGATTGGAACTGTACCAGTTGGACAACCTTTACCGTTTTGCCATATGTCTAATTTAGGTTTCAAGACTGACGAAGAATTGCTTTGCCTCCTTCTTGTTGGATAGGAAGTAGGTTTCATCTGCAATGTTTCAATCCTAAAATGTTACTGAATATTTAATTTAAATTAAAGAATGAAGAAGATTTAAAAGGAAAAAAAAAAAAAAAACCTGAAAATGATAGGAGTGATTCTTGAGTAAAGGATGATCAAAAGCAGGTTGTTTGTAGAAATCCACACAATCATATGTATCTCCATATGTTGTCGTCCTATCTCCATATGTTGTCTGCATGTATGAAAATATCAATAAGACAGAACATTATGAGATAAATCAATTATAAAAAAGGGTTAATTTCTGACGAGAATGGTTTCCACTGCTGGCTTAGTAAGATGTTTAAGCTGCTCCTCCAATTCTAAATCCTCTTCTGCTGATAGTCTTCTGGCTATGACTGCGTTCCATTTTTGTGATAGACACCACAAAAACAAAATTATTAGAGCAACCTTCAGAGCCATAATTATAAGAAACTAGATGGTTTATGTTATTTGCTGATGAAGATGAATGATAATGATTTATATATATATAGATGTAGAATAGGTTCATTTTTGGTAGGAAAAAAAGAAGATCCGAACATAATATTTGCTAAAGCTAAAGCAATAGAATTGAATAAATGCAAATAAGTGATAATGCCAACTATTGTTATAAAGTTTAATTTTGCATCAATGGAATTTGGATTTTGTCATATAATGACAAGATTCAATTCCTTTTTCAGTTGTGCATAAAAGGAATGAGAATCATATGAGTAATAGTATGAGATAATTACTCCATCCGTTCCAAAATTACTTGTGGCATTTCAAGATACAAGCTAGCATGTAGAAAGTTTCTTAGTTTTTTGACGTTTAGGTAATCTGATCAAGATATATGCATAATCAAAGTAGATTTGATCTCGTTAATTATGCCTAGAAAGGAAAACTGGGAAATTGTTTAAATCTACAAAGGATTTCTTACTCAATCCATGAAGCATCCTTTGTCTCCCGCTGATCATTTCCTTATCCTATATTTTGTCGTGACTAACATTGGCAAATATTTTGATTACAATTAGAGTGAGACGCTCTTTTTATCACCTTAATTTAGGTTGCATGGCTGTGTTTTGCATCACAGAATCAATGAAAATTCTCATATAACGATAAACTTTTTATTCACTTTGTCATATTGATTTCAGTTTCATGTTTTAAAATTGTGAATTTGTGAACCTTTGCGAAATTTCCCATCTTTTATTTCTCATTCTCTCTTTCTTCTTTTCCATGAAAAAGATTCAAAACTCTAGTTTCTTGAAATAATGAAAATAGTTTTAAGCACTAATCCAAATATTAAACAAAAAAACTAATTATAGAACACATGTTGGTGATGAGTACCATGATGAATACCATAAAAAACAAAATTACTAGTGCAACCTTTAAAGCCATGAATTCTAAGGAACTAGATGCTGTGTTTATGTGTTGACAGACATAAAAGGTAATGATTTTATATGAATGTGTTGACAGACATAAAAGGTAATGATTTTATATGAATGTAGAATAGATAATTTTTGGCAGGGAGACACGTTTTGTTAGCTATTTCTTAATTTGCTAATTAATAATAATGTTCAATTTTTCTAAAAGGGTCATAATATTTAATAAATGGAAACGAGAATGGTAATCATTGTGGATAAATTTGATTTTTGCATTAATGTAATTTGGATAAGCTTTTTTTTAGGGGAAATTTGGATAAGTTTTTGCCGATTAATAAATTGCAACTTAGGGTGTAAAGGCTTGAAGAAATTGAAACATTGTAATTTTTAATAATTAAGAAAATTGATACACTCGCGTTTGGTGGCTGGATTAATGCTGTTAATAATACTTGGCAATTCTGTTAATAATATTTACTTTTGAAACTTCAACTAGTTCATCAAATTTTATGAGTCGATTTTTTTTTTTTTTTTATCACTTACAATTCAGGCAGTAAACTTGGTTTATTTTGCAGTTTTTGTCAGGAATTATCATCAGATCTCTCTCTTGCTTGACTAAGCAAAACTGCAGACTACCCTGTGCTCAAAATTAAAAGCCTCTTCAGCTAAAAGCTGTAGTCCTCTAGCTGTAAAATCTTGTAGATTAATTTAATTTATACTTGCTATTCATCTTGACAAGAAATTATTGACATGATAAAATATATATAAAGACACGAGGGCTATAGCTCAGTGTATATATATAACATGATGACAAGTGATGTATCTAAATTTAACCATTCCATTATAACTTTGAAGGAAGATGATTAAATTTACGCTTTTATTTATTTGATAATGCTACAATAATTATTGGAGATTAATTTTAAGTTGTAGCCGTAGAAAGTTGCAATTAATATAAAAATTATTTCTAAGCTTAATAATGATATTGTCTATGTCATTTTCCTTTATAGGTCCCTCGACCACCAAACCACATCACATGTTTGTAATCCTTTCTAAGACATCCGGAGTCATAAGCATCATAATATGTACCTGGGATATCTCTATATATCCCTACTCTTGGAGCGGTCACGGTTTGATGACGTTCATTAACAATTGGTATTTCTGAAGACCGTAGCCTTACGATCCTATAGGAAGAGAGCAGTGTCTCCCATCAATGCTCTGGAGTTGGTGCGCCCTATGGGGTGTCTTAAATCTGGACTAGTCCCTTTTTTTTGTTCAAAAAAATATTAGAATTAAGATAATTTAAAGTTATAAGACATGAAAAACATGACCCTTATATTTGTGTATATAAAAAGGTGAGTACCAGTATCTCGATACACTGCACGATTGGCCTAACAATAACATAACATCACAATAAGTTGTTGATGATTGTTTAAATGCAACTGCATAAGAGAAAATGAAGAATAGAATATAGTTAACTTACATCCACCCAAACATAAGACCCTCAGGGCCATTTTGGAATTTAATTTTTGAACTGTACTGAGTTTTATTATCGAACAATTTTGGATTGTACAAGCTAGTAAACATTCCAGCTTCATAGTACTTTCCATTTGACAAACGACCTGTTTTATGTATTAATTACTAGATTAGTCAGATTTCTGCAAATTCTTATTGAGTTTATGCAATGTTAAGAGGGTAATAATGCAAATATGTGGACATTGATAAACTTACATGAAGCATATATTTCTGCAGCTAATTTTGCTTTAATGAGATCATCTTTAGTAACTCTCTTGATTGGAACCGTACCAGTTGGACAACTTTTGCCATTTAGCCGTATGTTTTTAGGTCTTAAAGCTGATGTAAGTTAGATTAAAGAAATCCTAAAATATTACTATATATATAATTTAGATTAAAGAAAAGAAACTGATTCAAAAGAAAGGGAAAGAGAAAAAAAAACTGAAAATGATAAGAGTGATTCTTGAGTAAAGGATGATCAAAAGTAGGTTGTTTATAAAAGTCCACACAATCATATGTTGTCTGCATGTATCAAAATATATTAATAAGACCAAATATTAAGAAATAAATTGATTACAAAAAAAAAAAAAAAAAAAATTATTCTGATGAGAATGGGTTCCACTCCTAGCTTAGTAAGACGTTTAAGCTCCTTCTCTAATTTTAAGTCCTCTTTCTGTCGATAACGGTTCTTCCTATAACGTTGGTGATGAATACCATAAAAACAAAATTACTAGTAGTCAACCTTTAAAGCCATGATCTAAGGAACTGATGCTATGTTATGTGGAACGGACATAAAGGTAATGATTTTTATAGATTTTATATGAATGTAGAATAGATAATTTGGCAGGGAGACACGTTTTGCTAGCTATTTCTTAATTTGCTAATTAATAATAATGTTCAATTCTTCTAAAAGGGTAATAATATTTAATAAATGGAAACTAGAATGAGACGAGCTCCAACCTATCAGGCTCGAAGAAATTGAAACATTATAACTTTTAATAATTAAGGAAATTGATGATATCATTAATATTTTCAAAAAAATAGGTAATTCATTAATATTTTTAAATTTTATTTTCCAGTTTTAAAAATTTCCTTTTCATCTATATCTATATAAATTTTTATATCCATATGTATATTTAACATTATATCTATAAATTTAAAGGCAATATCATTAATTTAAAACTAATACAAGCATTAATATCTCTAGTGATATTTTGCTTTTATATCTTTAATGAATGAAATAATACATATATTTTCCGTCATTTTGATACATTTTGACGTTTTTCTTTTTGTTACGACACTTTTAGAAAATTAAAATACTATTAAGTATTTTATTTCAACTTTACTCTGGTCCATATATCTCCACTACACTTTATCAATTTTAATTACAAAGAATCTAAGTAAAAAGTAATTTGGTTAAGGGTAATTTATTATTTAGTCCCTCAGGTTTTACAAAATTAACCAACTAATCTAAGATTTTGCCAAAATATCTAGCTAGTCCCTCAGGTTTAACTTAACTTCGTCTAACTAAAAGGTCCTTCCGACCGAAAAGTTTGGTTTTTTTCCGTTAATTATAGACTAAAAGACTAAAACACCCCTCCCTAGCTGACGGTTGACCATAAGGAGAAAATTATTATCTAGTTCCCTCCAATTTACATAATAATCTAACTAATCCCCCAAGTTTTGCGCAAATATCTTAACATAGTCCCCTCAGGTTTATACTTCGTCCAATTGAAAGGTCCTTCCGTCCTAAAAGTTAGTCTTTTTTCCCGTTAAATTGAAAGACTAAAGACTACAAATCACCGCCCTCCCTAGCTGACGTGGACCAAGATGAACGATAATGATATACTAGTTGTTTCCCTTTTGTTCTTTCAATGCATAGATGATATACCTAGTTTATCTTTTGCAACAGATAACCTTGGCATTAAATATTTAATAATTACATATTCAAAGTTATGAAAATTATAATAATAAGGTGCAATAATAATTTACTTTTTTTTAATCTATAAATACTATATTTTTAAGAGCCCGGTGTTTTCTTTCCAAATAATCTTTTTTTTTTTAGAATATTAATGAGTAATCTTTTTTTTTTTCAATTTTTATCCTTATTTATATTAAATTTAATAATTAATTTTATAATTTTCCAAAATCAATAACATCTCCCTCTCTACTTAGAATTACGTAATAAAAAAAATTTAAATTAATATTTTTTGTTATAATTTATAAAATAAATTTAACTTTACTTATTACATAAAACCTTTAAAAGTATTTATAATAGATGAATACTTTGTTTTTTTTTTTTTTTAGAATTTTATCAACTGATCAATAGTAATGTTCGTTGATAAATTTGCATATTAAATATGAAATAGAAAATTATGTTTATTACTTTTTTTCTAAAAAAGAAACTATGATGATAATTTGGGGTAAAAAGAAAAATGAAGTATTTACTTTTTTGAAGAGGTATTTACTTTTCGGAAACTTAAGTAATTAAAAGGTCGCTTCATACTGGTCCACGTCAGCTAGGGAGAGGTGTTTTAGTCTTTTAGTCTTCAATTGACGGAAAAAAACTAACTTTTCGGACGGAAGGGCCTTTCAATTAGACAGAGTTAAACCTGAGGGACTAGTTAGATATTTGCGCAAAACTTAAGATTAGTTAGATAATTATGTAAAACCTGAGGGATTAGATAATAATTTTCCCTTATGGTCCACGTCAGCTAGGGAGGGGTGTTTTAGTCTTTTAGTATATAATTAACGGAAAAAAATAACGGAAAAAAACCAACTTTTCGGACGGAAAGACCTTTTAATTAGACGGAGTTAAATCTGAAGGACTAGCTAGATATTTTGACAAAACCTTGGATTAGTTGATTAATTTTGTAAAACCCGAGTGACTAAATAATAAATTTCCCTTTGGTTAATTGTCTTTATTTTTTCTAGAATTGAGATAGTTCAATCATTTTTTTAATTCGTCAGGTAGAAAGTAATAAAATTAAGAGAACAAAGACAATAATATTGAATAAATAGATAACGGTAGAGTTTGCAAATTTAAATTTATGATAAAATGAAAAACAAAAACATTCTTTTGCTAATTGTGCATAAAAGCAAGGAGAATCAAATTGATAGTATAATTTACTTAATTATCTAACATAGTCTGATTTTGAAAACTAAGTCTACATAATAACATGATAATATAATTTAATTAAAAAAGCCAAATATTTACAACTAATATTGCGCTGCGATGATTTTGCTCATAACCACCTACTCTAATTAATAGGCTAAGCTTAATTTAGCTATGGAAATTCTCATGCTATTTCACATTTATAAAATGGACTATATCCTATATTAGTCGCGAATCTGCGCTTCGCATGCAGTATTTATATGTTGTTACTTAAATATCTGAAACCTACAATTTGAATTAGTATGAAGGAGATCAAAAAAATACCTTTAGTGGAAGAGTTACTTAAATAACTCATACCGTGTTTTGGATAGATAAATATATACAACACGGTATAGTTATTGACCTTCTGGATATTCCTTTCTAAATAATTGGCTTCTAAGTTCTGGATATTGCTCCTGAGAAGCATTATGTAAAAAACAAAAATTGCATGTAGGCAGTTTTCATCCACATTACAAAAGGCAAATTGTACTATTAAAACAGATAAATTATAAGACTTAAGGCAAATTGTACAATGTTCAATTGAACATGACATGGAAGGAGGAACAAACAGAAAAGGAGATGAAAAAGAAGATATATCACAAATTTGACAATTATACCTCTAATGGAAAAACATAAATTACCGGGTATGGGTATGATGGATCTTGCACCGCCATTGTGACATTAGATCCAAAAAGAATCTGTCATAAAATTAATCAAGAAAGTTAACCAAATCAAACAAAATATGAAACCAAACAAAGCAAAAACTTCCAAAACAAAAAAAACGAACCTGCAGGCAGGATATGTCACATTTTGCACCATCAAAGACAAATATATCATCTTCCTGAATGCCAAGGTCTCCATAAAATGTTGAAGCAATTGCAGCATGTGCTATGTTGTTTTTTCTGCCTCTATAAGAATGCTTGGTTGTAGTTGGACTTCCAATCTAGAAATTATCAAACACCTGAAGGTTTATAAAGCAGCTAGTTCTCAAGATTTCAACGTACTTTTTCACCTTGTTCAGCTCCATAACCACTGTAATCCTCAAGAGCGTAACCCTCGAGAGTGGACAATGATTCTGATCTCTGTAGAAAGGGAAATCAATTTATTAGTGAAAAAAAATGCAGGAGAACAAAATTTTTAGTTATAAGCTGCAACTATAGATGAAAAAAAGAAACGTATAGATATATAGAGAGACAGAGGCAAATATATTTATATTTATATAAATATAGATAACAAAGCTACGCTTTAGACCTTCTCTTTGTTTCAGCTATATATATACCGCTTTACAAGAACCTCTCTTTGTTTCAGCTTATATATAATATATATATATATATATATTAATATATATATATATATATATATAGCCGCAACTTGATAATCTGTAAATTTAATAATTTTTTCACTAGTAAAATTTTGGATTTATAATAAATGACAACATAACATTCTATGTGAGGTGTACATAAAAGGAATATATATCATTGATGAATTTGGCATTTCGTCAAATATTCATCTTGATTTTTTTCCAAATTCATTCATGCATAAAACTTTTCCTCGTGAAACAGTTGGACCAAAGAATTTTAATGGAAAAAATGCAAATTTTTAGACAGAATTTTAGCCATTCATGCTACTTATTCATTCATGCATAAAACATTGCATAAAAGAATTTTAGTCTTTTTATGTAAAATTAACGGAAAGAATCCAACTTTTTAGACGAAATGACTATATAGTCAGATAGAACCATACCTCAAGGACATCATAATAATTTTACCAAAATACATAAACGAAATCATTAATTTGGTCAAATATTAGAGATTAAATAGTAATTTTCCCTTTATCTTATGCATTATTTAGTACAATTATTTTACTTTAAAATGGTTCCATAATGTTTTATAAAAACTAGTATGTCAATTAGAAAATTTATACAACAATTATATTGTCTATAATTACATGGGAGTCACACTTAGTTCCAATAATAAATTTTTTTTTTTCTTCAAAAAAAATTACATATTTTCAATTTAGCTTAGAACTAAATTTTTATTCTTTTTCACAACTAAACACAATCTTTTTATAACTATGTATTATTTTAATATATATCAAAAAAAACAACTATAATATTTTATTTATTAAATTAGAATTCAATTATTATACCATTGCAATAATTAACCACTATAATTTATTATCATAATTCTATTGAACCTTTATATTTTTGTATCCATATATATATATTGTTGCATAGAAAAGTTGATATTAATCTAATTTATTTAGTTTGTATTTAAGCTGCTATTCATTTGATTTTTTTCCCCACAGTATGGGTTGCATACGCATAGTGATCATATGGAGTTTATTACTAGTGATAGGAGTACAAAAAGAACAACTTCTATAAGTATCTTCACCAAAACTATTGCTAGTATCTATGTAGTGTTTATCTCAGTAATATTGTATATTTTTATCAGAAATTATTTAATTAACAATTTTTTACGCAACAAAATGATATTGAGCTTGTACACTTAGTATCCGTTTTTGAATAATTTTCCATTCATCCCTTTCACAACGAGAAAAACTATACAAATTGATCCATCAACTTAGAAGATTACACAGAAGGGGAAGATGTAAAAACTCTTCCCACACATATATATTATTGATGAATTTGACATTACACAAAATATTCATCTTGTTTTTTTTTTTTTTTTTCCAAATTCATTCATACGTAAAACTTTTCCTTGCATAACATAGAATAAGCTGAAATTCATATAGTTCATTTGGTTTTCGTTTAAACTGTTTTTCATATGATTTTTTTTCCAAACAGTATGAAGTTAAAACATTGATGATCGCATGAAGTTCATTAGTCATAGTTGGTGCACAAACTCAGGAATTTCTTACTGCAACAAAATCAGAAGGTTCGGTGAATCCAACTACTGTAGAATTTTTAATAGCGAAAGATTTATTTGTGTTATGTTTTTTGATTAGGCATTATTTAACTATAAAAGGTAACAACCCTCCTATCCAACCAAATGGCAACTCACCTATCCAACCTGATCTAGAGTTTGTACCCATATAAGTTCTTGAAAGATATCCTATTCATCCCTCACAGAGAGGGAAATCAAGTAGATTTGTTATATTTGCCTGGACCCATCAAAGGAAGAGCAAGATGTAGAAACTCTTCCTAAATGTGAGCATATGTACCATTATATATGTATACCTATGTGTGTGTGTGTGTGTGTGTGTGTGTGTGTGTGTATATATATTGAAATGAATTTCTTTTAATGGAGAAATTTTTATTGTGCTAATTATTTATTTACTCATTTATTTAGTCAAATGATTATTATTTCTTATATGATTGATTATTATGTCTTGTATTATATTTCGAATCCTTGAAATCCTGCAAGGAACTACGAAATTTTAGCAATCCACCTGACACTCTCTAGGAAAAAAATGTTTACTCTATATATAGAAAAAATGTTTATCTATATATATAATATATATATATATAATATATATATTCAAAAATCACTAAATTTGATTTATTTTGGAATTAATTATCTTTATTATCATTATTATCCATTAAAAATACCGAAAAAATAAAAATGCACTCAAAAATTTTATGTATCTAAATTGTTGCTGTTTTTTATGATCAGTATTATTATGTAATTAAGAAAGTTTTGTTGCTATTAATTTTATTATTATTGTTCCTATTAATTTTAGGAAAAAGGTTCAAGTTGCACCCTGGACTTTTTGCAAATATATAAAAAACTCACAAATGAACTTTTGAATCAAAAAACTCATGAACTTAGTATTTTATTATCACTTACCCAATTCTTCACTAGGTCAACGCACATGGAAAGCAAACCAAAATTAAAGCAATTGAAAGCTAATTTTATGACTTGAAAGAAAGTGGCTATGGCTTTGAGAAATACAACATCTCTTTGCTAGATTTTGAGAGAGAAAATATGATAAACTTTCCAACTACAACTCTAGGTTAACCGACTTTAACCAGCGGCTAATTGCAAGTTTATACGAAATTAAATTGAGGAAAAATTTAAAGATTGGTTCAATGCATTTAGGGGATTGCAGCAATCAAGGTAAGCCATTAGATTTTTTTTTTTTTAAAATTTTAAATAATGTATAATCACCAATGTTGCATTGATTCGTCCACTAAAATTAGATTTTTTATTTTAAAGATTAATAGATGATTTTAATGTATTAATTGAAGAAAGTGTTTTTAAGTTGTTGTACTGTTGAATATAAGTGGTTCAACGTATTTCATTTTTTGTCAAGGCATATCATTGCAGTAGATGGCTTTCATCTTAAATGTGTTATTTGTATAAGATATAGTAACATTTAACTTTTTTAGTATAAAACAATTAAATATAGTATATGGGTTTGATAATAGTATTTTTATTTGGATAATTCAATGGTGAACCACTTCATTCCAATTCTACACAATCAAGGCACACGTATTTAGCAAGCCACAACAAATTAATCAGAGTATATTAACAACAAGTAACGTAACACAAATATCAGTTTCATAACTAATGCATTTATACCTAGATGGCATTTATCTATCATGTGCAAATGCATAAAATTTATCCATGTATGCATATGCAATGGCAGTAAGGTATCCAACACTACTCACAGCTTTATAGCTTATCAAGAGGTTATATTCTTTTTTCCGGCATTCTGCCATCTGACACTTGGTTCTTTGTGACCCGCAATCATATCTAAAGAAAGAATTACAATAAACTTTATCATTAATAAAGTCCAACTATTATCTTTAGAATTTTAAATTTTTTTTTTTTTAGTATTGTACCTATCTCTTCCTAATTGTTTAACATGTATATTCAAGATTATCATGTCCCTTATTTTGACTTTCCTAATCCTAAATCACTTATCCTAATATCATATGTGTTACATATGTTAATTTAAGTTCATTACAAGTCTTTTGCTAAGCAATTCCCATAAATTCTAGTCACCGAAAATAAGGCTAGTTAATCTCATCATTTAGGTTTGTAATACCGAAAATCTGGCAACATATCCCCTAAAAATAGAGTTATCTATATGCTTAAATAATAGCAACATTCAATATTATCTAATCAATTTACACAACCCATTCGTCGGGCGAAATAACTCAATAAGCCCATCCTCTATCGTTTCAACATCAAACAATCTCACCTTTGTCATTTGTTAATTGCAGTTACATCAAAATTATGCACATAAAATTATATATATGTATATTTGTATATTTACACTTACACTTATACATATATGTACATATATATATTACTTATCGATCATACCCATAGTCTGTAATCATAATATTCACTTACACATTAGTAAAATGTATTCATTAAAGTTCAACTAATTAATATGGCAGTCTGTATCATTTAATTTGGCTAGATTAAACTACACTACTTATAGTTTAGTTAATTTAACTGGATAAATCCATTTGAACATAATAGTAAAAATGCAAGATCGAAGCCCAGGACTCACCGATAAAAATTGGATTGCAGGATCGCGATCGTCACAAGAAGGAAGAAATCCTGCCTCTCAAGGCCTCGCCGGAGTCTCACCGGCCGGTCACTGAACCTCCGCCGCCGTCCGCCGTGCGCGGTGACCGGGTAGTCATGCCTCATTGAAACTGAGCGATTTTTACATCCCAGCCTCGGAATTCCATGAATAGCGCAAATCCAGTGTCGATTTATGGAGGCACTGGATCAGTTTTCCGGAAATAGCTCCGATGTTCAAAAATCCGTTACTGTAGGCGGTAACTCGGCCGAAACTGATGAGGATGGTGGCCGGTGAAGCTACTAGGGACGATGGAAGGGTGTAACCGGCCGGCCTTTAGCTGGCCTCCTCGAAGAATGAAACGGAAACGGATAGCGGGACTGTCCCAATCGTGAGCCATAATCGCAGCTCACCATTGCTGCGCTAGCCGAAACAGAAGGGGGGACAGAGAGAGAGAGAGAGACTGAGCGCCGGTGCCATGAGAACAGAGTTGGGGACGACCAGTTGAGCAGGAGTGGCCGAAAAAACGAAAAAAGAAAATCGAAGGTGACTGTCCGATCGGAAAAAGCTTTTCCCTTGCTGCCACGCTATAAACCGACCAGAACTGAAGAAGGAGGGTGACAGAAGGAACGACAGCGATGAGAAGGAGCTTTTGTCGGCGAAGCTTGAGCTCCGGTGGCCGGGAAATGAAAGAGGATAAGTGAGGGGGCTGAGGTCGGCACTAGCAGGCAGGGGAGAATTTGGGTTAGGAGAAAATGGGTAATCCCATGTTCTAGGGCTTTCTAATTGGTTAATTGTCGGTTTGGGTTCAAATCTGGTATGGTTTCATCCGATTCCTGAGGTTTACTTGGTTTCCTTAATTGATTTATTGATTTCCAATTGGTTTATGGATTTTTCAACGGGTTTAATTTTAATTTAAGGGTTTGGTTTAAAAAATATAAATATATTTACCTAAAATTTGATTCGATTTAACTAGTTTGAACACTAGTTTTTCAATGATTTAAACGGTTTAAATCATGGTTAAGTTCTAGATCATTCTACAGTGTACTTAATAATAATAATATTGTTGTGTTTAATAATTGTAATAATAATATAACAATATAGTATGATAGTGATAATTGAGTTTAGGATAATTAATCTAAATAATAGTCATATATATATTTTAATAATTAGTTTAATAATTCTAATTCTTGAAAAATTTAGAAGATTCTCGACTAGATAGTTTGATTACACGTTTTTGGGTTGAGTCCAATCTGCGAATTTGGATTTAGATTAAAATTGTTTGGTATTTGATGCTCATACAATCGAAAATTTAGATTTTTGATTTAATTGAAATTCGAAAGTTTTGAAAATAAAATTGTGAGTTATTTCAGTCTCCCCCTCTTAAAATAATTCATCCTCGAATTAAAATTTAGTAAGGAAGAGTAGGAATGGACACATAGGTGATTTCAAGATCATAAGAGATACTTCAAATACAAAAAAGATAGCTTAAGAGCGAATAATATAGACTGAGCAAAGGAAGGAGGTGAGGTATTCTGAGTTTACTTCTATCACAAACTATCGTGTTTCTTTTCTACCAAAGATTCCTCTAATGAGCTCGAGAGGACAATCAAGATTTCTAATGTTATGTTATACATATAAGATCAATTTATAGTGCCACTCAATTTAATATTACATAGATTGAGGAGGCAATATTTGTGCAAACTCCTCATTATATTACTTAAGTTCTCTATATCTTGCCATACCCATACACTATTTGCTTACTTCCTAATCACGTTTCATCAACATCTATATTAGACTCTACGTTAGACGTCTAGATACTATTTAGCTATTACTAACATTAAGTGATTTCAAAGTTCTTGAGACAGTGTTGGGGTCATTGCACTGGCCTAGCTTGACAATGAAGGTTTTAAAGATGGGTTAACTGCTCCTTTGCCTCTAGATGGAATAAGAAAAACTGGAGATCTTGATGACACAATCAAGGTGCTTGGGGCCATAAATACTATGTTATCAAACCCAGTAAGTCTGCAAAATTCATCTCGAAGGAACAATCTCATCAAGTCTGTAGACAAAATCCTTAGCTTACTATTCATTCAATTACCTCAACCTTATTGCGTAGACCATGGCTACGGTCTATGAAAAATGAATATTAAGATAATAGCTTAAGCGCGTTCAGGATCTATTCACAACTTCTCCCTTTCAATGATCTCATGTTGTTTAATCCTCCACTAATGAGTGGTCGAAACTATTCTAAAAAAGTCCAAAGGAAGAAGTCATGATTGTTTGGTTCATTTAGAAAATTGAACAATTCTAGAGTGGAAATTTCAAGAGAAATAGAGGAGATAGTGATGGTGCTCCAAAGGAACTGGAGTTTTAGCTTCATCAAACTATTTGGAGGTTTTAAGTAGTAGTTGAACATGGGGGTTTGACTCCTAAATAAGACAATTTTCCCTGCTATTTCTCTTAGATACAAGATTTCATAGAAACCAAAGTTCTTCTTTTCTTAAACCCTTGGAAGGCTTTAGAGTAAATGTGACCATAAAAGGATATTCCTTAAAAAAAGAAAGCAGGTCCTTCCACTACTCCTCTGAGTTATAAATCCTAAACAAGGTAAAATGTGACATGATCTGTTGCATACTCCTAAATCTGTCAAACATTCAAATTTACTGGAGGACACATCTTTCTTTAAAAAGCTCTAGAAATAGGAGGGGAAGATGAACTGGCATGATCATTGAGAGAGCAACAAAAGCAATTTGATAGTAAAGAAATTATATACAAAATCCCGCTAAGATAGTGGTCAATTTACAGGTGGAGCTATGCTAAGAATTGTAAAGATTTGCATCCTCCCACTTTGGTGTTTGTGCTACCTTACTGATTAAGTATCATATTTTATGTTTGCTTGCCTTCGAGATGTGATGACAATTATCACATCCGCTAAAGCAACGTAATATTTGCTAAAGCAATAAAATTGAATAAAATGCAAATAAGTGATAATGGCAACTATTGTTATAAAGTTTAGTTTTGCATCAATGAAATTTGGATTTGTCATATAATGACAAGATACAATTCCTAATGAAGTGACCAATACCATAGAAACAAAGTAAGTATACTGTAAAACTCAATGCTCCATAAATGGAAATTTTATATTTCACAAAATCATCCCAAAATAAGTTGCAATTTTAAATTATAATTTCTCATGTAATTCTAAATTATAATATTATCCAAACATCACTTTATAATTTCAACTCCAATATTCTGTTATCTAAATTTAATTTAGTAGAAAATTTACATTCGAAATGAATTAAAAACTTGAATTTAAATTTTATTATATACATAAAATTAAAAATATAAGAAAATACTAATATAAATGTGAAAAATTATTCTGTTTAATTATTTTTATTCTTTCATCTAAATACTGTTATCTAAATTTTAATCTTAGTTAGAAAATTTACATTCGAATGAAATTTAAAAACATTGAATTTTAAAAATTTCTTATTATTATAAAAATTTTATTATATACATAAAATTAAAAATATAAGAAAATACTAATATAAATGTGAAAAATTATTCTGTTTAATTATTTTTATTCTTTCATCTAAATAATACAAAAGTAAGAATAGTACAAAAGTAAATTCTTAAATAAGTATGTTAACCACAAAATTAGCAAGAATATATACACTAATAGTAAGTGTATACACTAATAGTAAGTGTATACACTAATAGTAAGTTCTTCTTAAATAAGTATGATTCTCCAAGTATATACACTAATAGTAAGTTCTTCTTTATCCAACATAAATGTTTTATGCTTATTTTAGATATTAAAAAGAGTTGACTTTGTGATTATTGGTTAAGGTTAATAATTGTCAATTTTAATTTTTGTCATCATCTATCTATTTAATTACAATACTGAATTACTGACGTTCAAATCAAATCTTATCTTTTTTATTTTATTTTCTATCCAACCAAATCACCATCTGATTGCCACTACCATTTCAATTTTTTAATAGTTTCTTTCCTTTTGAGAAAATAAAAATAACCTTCTTAAACCTTTGCCTTTTTATTAATTTAATTTTTATCCAATTTTTAGGAGATATAAAAACTAATATTCTAATTCAAAATACAAAACTACATATTAAAAACTATTAATATTTTAAAATCATGGTTTAAAAAGAAAATTTTCAGCACATTGAATTATTAGTTAAACTCATTTGAATCTGAACAACATAAAATCCACAAAAATCCACAATATGATGTTCTCTCTATTTCTCTATACCTATGCTTAGCTCTTAGGGTTTTGATAACTATTGCATTAACTGTGTTTCTAATTTTGTTTTCCCCAAGTTTGAAAACAGTTTTAGCAAAAAAACTTATATTAACTATAGGTTTTCCTCAGGGATCATTTTAGGAGTTTAGAGTTGTATTGTAGCTATATATAGTTTTTTAAGTAAATGATTTGTATTATATTAAACATAGAATTTCCTTGAATGAACTGATATTTTGTTCTAAAATATGTTTAAGTGGAATCAGTTTATTAAATTTATTAATCTTTCTGTAGTTTCTGCGAAGCACAAAGCATGACACATGTCAAAAGAAACCAAGGTAATGTACTTTTTAATAATACATTACTCTTATAAATATCTTACTCTTATAATGATCAACTTTCAGCTTTTGCGATTTTGCTACGAATGGAATAATTGTCCTTAAACTCCTCCATTTACAGCCCTTTCTTTCAAATCTTTCTCCCAAAATCATTCATCAGCAGAAGCCTCAAGATCTCTCTCATCTGAAGTAACTCAGAAACTGTTATCAACAGAAGCAACAAAGCCTCAACTCGTTTTTCCTTCCTCCTCGAAGGTAAAACTCCTTTTCATTTTTTGGTTTTTCTTCCTCCTCAAGGTACAAACTCTTTTCATTTTTTGTTTCTTTGTTTGGATCAAATAAACATTATTTCTGCAAATTTTTGGGTTTGGTTTTGTTTTGATTGATGGGATCAACTTAATTAGATATGGTGTTTTCATTTTTTGTTCTTTGTTTGGATCAAATAAACATTAATTTTGCAAATTTTTGGGTTTGGTTTCGTTTTGTTTCATGGGATCAACTTAGTTAGATATAGTGGTATTGATAAGGTTTTGTGTTTAGAATTTTATTAAATGAAGAGTTTAACAAGCTCGTTGAATTTTGCATATGTAGATAAAGAAGGAGACAAACAAGTTCATTATCCGTTTTCAGGTTCTTCTTGCAATCACTATTTCATTTTTAATTGTTTGACATGCATACGGTTGATATGTATTATTTATATTTACTCTTTATTTTTCATGTGGGTTTCTGAAATTTGATTTACACACATATATAGGGTGTAATTTTATTGGGTAATTCAATTTGTTGTAGTTTGATGTGAGTTATGGAATTAATATATTCGATACTTTTCACTTGATATAAAATCATAGTATTTTGTTTAAATCTAAACCTAATTCCAAATCTAACCTAATCACTTATCATTTCAATTTTTTAATAGCCTTCTTCTTTTTAGAAAATAATAAAAAAAAACCTTCTTAAAACGTTCCCTTCCTTAATAGTTGTAAACTTTGATTTTTTTTTCTTCCAATTGAATTACTTGAAAAGAGCATGAACTCGAACCATTTAAGAGCTAGAGCATGCACATGGGAACCTATATGCACAAGATTATTTTTGAAATTTAAGGTTGCAAATTTGCTATTGTATGGAATAGTTATTTCACATTTAAATATATGAACCAAAGTTAGAAATAGTTACTCAATA